CAGTAGGAGATGTCAGTTTCTCATGAACCAGTTGGAGGTGTTGTCAGTTATTAGTTAAGCAGTAGGAGATGTCTTCAGTTGTTCATTAACCAATAGGAGACCTTGTTAGTTGTTCCTTAACCAGTAGATGTTATCAGTTGTTCATTAACCAATAGAAGATGTTGCCAGTTGTTCATTAACCAGTAGGAGATGTTGCCAGTTGTTCATTAACCAGTAGGAGGTATTGTCAGTTGTTCATTAACCAGTAGAAGATGTTGCCAGTTGTTCATTAACCAGTAAGAGATGTTGCCAGTTGTTCATTAACCAGTAGGAGATGTTGTCAGTTGTTCATTAACCAGTAGATATTGTCAGCTTCTCGTTAACCAGTATGAGATGTTGTCAGTTTCTCACTAACCAGTAGGAGATATTGTCAGTTGTTCATTAACCAGTAGGAGATGTTGCCAGTTGTTCATTAACCAGTAGGAGGTATTGTCAGTTGTTCATTAACCAGTAGAAGATGTTGCCAGTTGTTCATTAACCAGTAGGAGATGTTGCCAGTTGTTCATTAACCAGTAGGAGATGTTGTCAGTTGTTCATTAACCAGTAGATATTGTCAGCTTCTCGTTAACCAGTATGAGATGTTGTCAGTTTCTCACTAACCAGTAGGAGATATTGTCAGTTGTTCATTAACCAGTAGGAGATGTTGCCAGTTGTTCATTAACCAGTAGGAGATGTTGCCAGTTGTTCATTAACCAGTAGGAGATGTTGTCAGTTGTTCATTAACCAGTAGATATTGTCAGCTTCTCGTTAACCAGTATGAGATGTTGTCAGTTTCTCACTAACCAGTAGGAGATATTGTCAGTTGTTCATTAACCAGTAGGAGATGTTGCCAGTTGTTCATTAACCAGTAGGAGGTATTGTCAGTTGTTCATTAACCAGTAGAAGATGTTGCCAGTTGTTCATTAACCAGTAGGAGATGTTGCCAGTTGTTCATTAACCAGTAAGAGGTCTTGCCAGCTCTTCATTAACCAGTAGGAGATGTTGTCAGTTGTTCATTAACCAGTAGGAGATGTTGCCAGTTGTTCATTAACCAGTAGAAGATGTTGTCAGTTATTCATTAACCAGTAGGAGATGTTGTCAGTTGTTCATTAACCAGTAGGAGATGTTGCCAGCTGTTCATTAACCAGTAGGAGATGTTGTCAGTTGTTCATTAACAGTAGGCGATGTTATCAGCTGTTCATAAACTTATGGTAGTAGGTAGTAGGCAGTAGGGAGTGACAGTTTGGCAAAAGTTTTCAAAATCTAATTGCTTGGGTTGGATTATTTGTCTATCGGCCACGCTAATTCCGAATATGTTTGAGTTTTTTACATCATTGCATTAGAAGGTTTGTGGATACTTTTGGGTTTGGCATGAAAAACGCGAAAAAACTGTAAATAATAAAGGGACTGGCAATGTGGCACAACCTGTTAAAATCAAGTTATTGAATTGGATTATTCGACTACTGTGTACACTGGTTCATAATATGCTATTGTTTTACAACTCAATGCGCTACAAATTATGCCGATATTTTTGCTGCAAGTCACCACATACGTATATTTCGAAAACCAGGGCCCAATATTACCAACGGCGTGGATAGATTCCGTGGAATGAATTCAGGACATTCCCGCTCATGGAACATTACCAAACTCCGTATATGTGCCAATGGCAGGCCAATGGCAATATTTACAGAGTTTGTTGAGGCTCCCTGGACGGGAATGCCCTGAATTTATTCCACGGAATCTATTCACGCCGTTGGTAATATTCGTCCCAGGACTGATCAACGAATTCAGCCCAAGTAGCTTGACTTGGACAGTTAAGGACAAAATCTCAGTCCGTACTTTTGAATAAAATATTGTTCAATAGGTGGTGATATTGAAGTGCTGAAAGTTGTTTTTTCTGTGTTGTTTTGCAGTTAGTTCAAAGGGCCGCCACCAAGATGGGTCGTCCTAAGATTAGCAACACTCAGCTGCGCCAGGGTAACGATAAGGTGTTCGGGGTTCGGATGCCTCTGCCATCTAACAAGTTGCCTCTGAACAAGGAAGTTGGAAGTGCCCTGGCTTATGAAGCAGAAAACGAGAGGTTAAGGAGAAGAACAAATGCTTTTGATTATATGGATGCCACCAACAAGGTGACTGAGAAGGTACTGGATGTGTATAGGAAGGCCACTGTCCCCACTATCTCTGAAATCAGGGTGAAAATGAGAGTCCACGACCTGTGGAGGATGCGGAGGGAGACGATGATGATGAAGGGAAATGGACAGAAACAGAAAAGGAAGAAAACGAAGAACGGGAAGCTGAAGATGAGGTTCGAGGATATAGCTGAGAAGTTGTTTGATGTGGCAGACGACAGCAAAGTGCACGAACGAGAGAAAAGCTTCCTGGCAGCCCAGAGGAAACCGGGAAGGGAGGGCTGCATTGATGGCGTTGACAAAATTGTGACTGCCAAGCTGAAAGAAGAGAGGGAGAAGGAAGCGAAGAGGGCAAAGAAAAGGGCTGAGGAAGAGAGGAAAACTGAGAAGATGAGGTCAAAGAGTAAGGAGGAGATGGAGAGGATGTCGTGTAAAGTGTCGGCAGTGGATGACAGTGCTCAGGAAGAAGATAGTGATTATAAGGATGTCAATGACAATGAGTTCAAGGCTATGGTCGACAGGAGAGCAAGATCAGAGAAAAGGAAAAGGGAGAAAGAAGCCGAGGACAGGATCGGAGAAACTGCTGACAGGTTCAAGGTATCCAATGATGCAGTGGCTCACATCGCAAACACCATCAGAGCTGCAGACAACATCATAACTGAAGGGGACAAGTCTAAAGTGACTAACTGGAAGAAAGTGGAGAGAGTCAGGAAGAGGTCACGAGAACAGAAAAAAGAAAAGTTCAGGGGATTCAAGGTCAGAGGTCTCATGGTAGATGAGTTGTAAAACAATAGCATATTATGAACCAGTGTACACAGTAGTCGAATAATCCAATTCAATAACTTGATTTTAACAGGTTGTGCCACATTGCCAGTCCCTTTATTATTTACAGTTTTTTCGCGTTTTTCATGCCAAACCCAAAAGTATCCACAAACCTTCTAATGCAATGATGTAAAAAACTCAAACATATTCGGAATTAGCGTGGCCGATAGACAAATAATCCAACCCAAGCAATTAGATTTTGAAAACTTTTGCCAAACTGTCACTCCCTAGTAGGCAGCTATCAAACAGGGAGGTACTACCGCCTGGGAAAATATTGGAAGCATAATGTGTTGTCTAATGGTAGACCCTGCTGCCATATGGCATCACAAAAATCGTGACCAAGTCCCAGGCTGCCCATCTGACTTGCTGCCTTATTTACATACAATTGCAGGGTCTCAATTGTTTCTCTTACTTTAACAACACAACTTACATACAGTACATTGTTTCTCACTCTTGATCTTTTTTTTTCATTTTTGTATGTCATTTATTATTATTATTATTATTATTATTATTATTATTATTATTATTATTATTATTATTATTATTATTATTATTATTATTATTATTATTATTATTATTATTATTATTATTATTATTATATATTATTTATTATTTATTATTTATTCATTATTCTTTATTATTATTACTTAATATTTATTATTTTTGTATTATTATTACTATTACTATTATTATTATTGTAAACGCCTTAGTTAAGGACGTTCAGGTGACGGGCAAGTCGAAGGGAATGATTGAAACCCGTCTTTTGACGCATTCAATATTTATTGATGTGGTCAAAACATGCAGACAACAAGGCGTTCATTAGTATTACATGGTGATCTATCTCATACATAATTAGTTAGTCTCACACAAATTATCTTAATTTTAATTGATTATTGAGCATAATGACATGATACAAATTTCATAACTCTATTAATCTTAGCTACACTTCATTCCGCGTTGTCTTATTGCTCCAGATAAGGCAGGAACAAGTAGGCATAATTATTCCACAATATTTCAGTACTGAGGGGTATGTCATCACTTTGGCTGTACTTACAAGTGCGGGTCAATGCGAGCCAGTATGGTGTTCCAAGGGAAGATAGTTTTGTGTAAATTGTTTTCGTACAAAACTAGGCCAGGATTGGGAGTTGTTGTTGATCACCACTGATCACCGCTGCTTGCAGAGTGTTGGTCCTCACAGCATCACTTGAGGGGGCAGTCTCCTAGAGTCCAGGTGGCCATGCCGCCTTTTAAACCATACATTTGCAGGGTCATGATCTCTTCTCCGTAAACACCGCCCCCCTAATCTTTGTTCGGGTAAGGCAGTAAAACGACAGCACTGACACCAGCGGTGAAAACACTCCCGGCGATGCTACATCTGTCGAGGTAACAAGTCGCGTGGTGGGGGGGAGAGGGCAATGTGTCATGAGACACCCTCTCAGCGCTCACGCCAGTGGTGATGACACTCCCGGTGGTAAACACACAGTCGCTACATCTGGTGAGGTAACAGGCCACTTGTGGGGTGGGGGAAGCACATGGTTGTTGACACCAACGATAAAGCCAGCGGCGATAACACTCCCGGCGTTCGGCAATCGCCCAAGATTTACGGTGTGGCGTGTTCAAGAAGGCATACACGGGTCACTGGCCTTCGGAACTCCCCAGATACTGTTTGCACACGCACCTGGCGCACCAAACCATCGGCTCCTGGGACCACTGCCGTGACCCTGCCCTATGGCCATTTGTTGCGAGGAAGATTTTCCCCAGTGACGAGGACGAGGTCGCCTTCCTGGAGATTTCGGGTTGGTTCTATGTACTTCTGTCTTTTGCGGGGTAGTGGAAGATACCCCCTTACCCAGCGTTTCCAGAAGCGGTCTGCTAGGAACTGCACGTGCCGCCACCGTCGGTGATATGAATCCTTCAGAAGACATCCTCCTAGTGACAGATCAGCGTGTGGGCCACCATGGAGGATGTGGGCTGGTGTAAGCGCTTCCAGGTCCCTCACGTCGCTCGAGGCAGGAGTGATGGGTCGATTATTTATGATTGCTTCCACTTCACAAAATAGCGTCTGCAGTCGATATTCATACAGGACTTGGGTCCCCACAATTGCTCTGAGAACCTTTCCGACTGTTCGGATTTGCCGTTCCCAGACTCCTCCCACGTCTGAAAGTGTCTGTTTATGCGTTCATTATTCCTCCAACTACGCACTGCCGCACGGAGTTCCTTGCAAGCCCCGACCATGTTGGTGCCATCTTCTGAACGAATACGTTTCGGAGTCGTACCCTTTCTGGCGATGAAGCGGACAGTAGCGTTTAGGAGTGCATCTGTATCTAGAGACTCCAACACCTCCAGGTGCACTGCACGAGTAGCTAGACAGGTGAATATGCAGTCATATCTCTTGGTACTCTTTCGTCCTTGTCTTACTGTGAATGGGCCAAAGCAATCAGTGCCCGTGTAAGTGAAGGGACGCTCCCCGGGCTTGGTCCGGTCTTCGGGCAGCATGGCCTCCCTTTGCCTAGTGGGCTTCCAATTGTTACGGCGGCAAGTGACAAACTCCTTTATTATCTTATCGAGCAGAGGGTGGCAATGGGCGATCCAGAACTCACACCAGAGTATGGAAAGTGTATTTTTTCTCCCGGAATGGCCAGCGCCCACCGCGTGTGCTTCCCGCACTATAAGTTTGGTTACTGGGTGGTCTCTGGGCAGTAGTATTGATCCAATTCTTTCTTTGGCATCTCGTAACCTTCTTCCTACTCTGAGCAGCCCGTCTTGGCCTAGGTATGGCCCTAGTCGGTACAGTCGACTTTGTAGTGGCAGTTGTCGGTGCTGCAGGAGGCTCATCTCCTCACCATAGGCCTCCTGTTGCAGGAACCGAATAATGGTCCACTTGAAATTCCGCAGTTCAGGCAATTGCAGCGGCTTCGATGTTGTACCCTGAAAGTCGTGTCTCAGGATGCTGGATACTCGCCTGATCCAGGATACACCTCTCTGCATCGCATGCCATGATGAGTACCTGTTCCATAGCAGTTGCATGATGGCATCAGCATTATTTCCTGCTGTGGCTAATGACACCGCCTCGAGCTTAACCTCAGAATCAGTCTCAAGTTCGTGTCTTATTTCCGGTTTTTTCGGCCAGTACTCCTCAAGTAGAGACAAAAAAGAAGGACCATCAATCCATCTGAATTATTTTAACATGTCTTCAACAGGTATGCCTCTTGTAGCATCATCTGCTGGATTCCATCTTGATCGTACATGTCTCCATTGAGCCTTTTCCGTGACTTCATGTATAGCTGAGATCTTGTTGGCAACAAAGGTTGCCAACAGGTTTCTCTAGGTTGCCGATGTACATGATCACAATCATACTGTTCGTCCAGAACACGGATTCTTCAAGTGGGGCTCCAATTTCACGCTTGATTGTCTGGTCTGTTCTTGTCGCCAGGACTGCTGCACAGAGTTCTAGCCTTGGGACCATTAGCTGATTGAGAGGGGCCAGACGAGCCTTGCCACAAACGAAAGAACATCTGGCTTTACCTTCATTATCTACTGTCCGTAGGTACGTTACAACTGCATAGGCCACTTGTGAGGCATCACAGAAGTGATGGAGTTGCGATGAGGTGGCACAACCCAGGCCCCCAGGTCTGTAGCAGCGAGGAACTTTGAAGTTTCGCAGTGATTTCAAATCTTCAAGCCAGCGCAACCGCTTGTGAAGGTTTTGCTTGGTGATGTCTTCGTCCCAGTCCTTCTTCCGCCTGCATTCGTCTTGGAAAATGAGCTTGGCTTTGATGGTGAAAGGGCAGATGAATCCTAAAGGGTCGTACATCGAGCTTACCACTGCAAGTAAACCCCTTTTTGTCGCTGGTCGGGTGGGAACCTGAACCTTTGCTGCAAACTGGTCTCCATTTAGGTCCCACATGGCTCCCAAGGCTCTCTCCGTGGGTAGGTCTTCACATCCCAGGTTCACTTCCTTCACTCCAGTATGTCGACTTTTAAGTGGTATCGTGTTGAGGACCTCTTTGTTGTTGCTGATCCATTTTTTGAGTTTGAAACCTGCCAGCGATAGAAGATGTCGCAACTGCCGAGATATCATAATCGCTTCTTTTGGTTCAGTTACTGACAGGAGCAGGTTGTCTACATAGAAGTTTGAGTTCGCTCTATTTGCTGCATCCGAGAACCCATCTCCGAAGTCTTGGAAGGTTCGTTGCAGAGCATAGGCCGCGCACGAGGGACTCCACACTCCTCCGAAGAGATGCACTGTCATCCTACAGGTCATTGGCGTTTGTGTCAAATCTCAAGCTTCCCAACAGAGGAATCGTAAAGTGTCTCTGTGCTCGGGGTTTACCTTCACTTGATGGAACATTGCTTCGATGTCGGCCATCAGGGCGATCGGCTCTTGTCTAAACCGTTTGAGTACTCCAATCAATTTGTTGTTGAGGTCTGGTCCTTGGAGCACTTGGTTGTTGAGTGAAGTCTTCGTGAAGGCTGCTGCACAATCGAAGACGATCTGTACCTTGTCTGGTTTATTGGGGTTTAGTACTGGGTGATGAGGCAGGTACCAGCTACTTCCACCAGACTTCGATAATTGCCTTAGTGGCACCCTTTCGGCGAAACCTTCGTTGAATAACTTTTCCATCTCCTCCTTGTACCGTAGTCTCAATCTTGTGTCCCTTGATAGGCGTTTCTTTAGTCCCAGTAAGCGACGCTCGGCGAGCGCTCTGTAGTCAGGTAGACAGGGCGGTTGACGTCGGAATGGAATTGGGAATTGGTAGTGTCCCTGTACTCTCTGTCCAATCGACGACCAAAGTTTGATGACCCGTTTATCCTCTACCGATGATGGGGAGCCATCTCCCGGGGTCTGGTGTAATGCTTCGATTTCCCAGAAGCACCTAACCTGCTCTTCCAAAAGAGTTTTTTCTGTAGAGGCAGTCAGCATGGAACATTCCGTTGTAAACCTGTGAGTTAAATTGCCCATCAGGGGCCCATTAATTGTCCAACCCAATCTTGTCCTTATTGCAAAAGGTGCTTTATCTGGCCCCGTCCGACACTCGAGGGGAATCTGAGCATCTGGGCAATCTTGTCCAATCAGTAACTCTGCCACTCGTCTGTTTGGTGGAAGTGGAGCAAGTCCTCGAAGATGTCCTCAAGCATCTATGTCTAGGGCTGTAGCTGTTGAGTTTTCTAAAGAAGGTGGCAGTCTGTCAAGTACTAGTACCTTAGGAAGGGATATGGGGCACTTCGCTCTCCGCGTGTTAATGCCTCTTACTTCCAGATCTACTTCTGTGGTGTTACATTGTTCCCCTTGGGTTAACGTGTTTATGAAGAGTGATGTTGGTTTCCCTCGTATTCTTAGTCTTTTGACCAGTCCTTTGGCACAGTAAGACCTGTCGCTGCCTGTGTCCAGTAGCGCCATGGTTCTCTCTGATCCTGTTAACCCCTTTCCCATTACTTGAACTTCTAGTAGTGGGAGCGCGACCTTGTCTTGGCTTAGTCATTGATCTCGCGCTCTTACAGTCATCTTCTTGGGGCTCTCTCTTTCTATTCTTTCTTCCTCCGGTTCCACCACTCTGTTCTCTATCTTCGAAGTCACAGTCCTGGCGCTCTCTCTTGAATCCTCGGCCTTCCTTTACGTCAGCATCTACCCTATTCGATTTTATGATCTGGCGGCTGCTCCCACTTGCCTTCCATGGCGGCACACCTGCCCCTTCCTGTGGCAGGTGGAGCCATCTTGAATGTGCCTTACCACACCCTTCGATGTCGCATGGGCGGAAGCCAGACATACAGTTGCTAGCTTGGTGCAGGCCCCTTAGGCACAAGAAGCAATAGCCCAACTCTTTGATGTGTTCCTTTTTTTCCATCTTTGTTAACTTCCAGAGGTTTGAGCACTGTGGCAGCCAATGAGGGCCATGACAAAGTGGACAATCTCGTTCTCCCACGTCGTTGGTCACAAGAGTCATGGCTTGTTTGCTAGATCGGTCTTTTCCCTCGTACCTCAGGCTAGTGTATCGAGTATGCGCCCTTTTTGCCTCCTTCGCCATATCTCTTTGGAGGGTGATCGAGGACTGCAATTTCATACCTTTCTTGTAAACGACCAGGAAGCCTTTCATTTATGCCATTCCTTTCGAGGAGATGCTCGAGGGTTTCTTGTGAGTCAATGGACTCGAAGCTGCAAATGCACGCCTGAAGTTTGTCGGCCAACTCCTGCAGGCCCTCGCCGTTGGTTATTTTGGCAGGTGGTCCGTTGATCAGATTCATCAACAATTCTTCGATATGGGCGTCCTCATCACCATACCGGTCCTTCAGGGTACTCACGGCTTTTCTATAGCCCTCAGAGGACTTCATGAATGGGTTCAGAACATTCCGAATATTACTTGAACACGAGTGGATTAACATTTGAAGTTTCTCCGAATCTGGGGCAGTAGAGGTTCCCACATATCTCTTGAAGCTATTCATGTAGTCCCAATATACTCCACGGCTCTTCCCCTTGAAAGTAGGGATGCGTGCATTTTGCATGTGGTGGGATGACAACATATCCTTCAGTGAAGTTGAGGTGCTGCCGGATTCTTCCTTGCCGCCGTACTTCTCTCTCCTTTCAGGCTGCTCCATTTCAACTCGTTGCACGTCTTCGTCTTTGTCGGTCGATTCCTCATGTCCCTTGGGGCGACCAGTCATCACAGTGGGAGACTTGCCAAGAGTCCCCCCTGATGTTGTCTTCAGCCTGGGTTGGTCGCTCCCTTCGTCCAAACGTCGTGTTGTGTTCCCTTTTACAAAATATGCTTCCAGCATTTCAGTCACAGTTCTTCGTACTTCTGCCATTATGTTAGATCCGGGATTTTGGTCAGGTGCTGAGCATTCAGACTCAGGCAGAGGGTGGCCCCTTTCAGCTTCTGTGGCCGTAACATCGTGTTCGTTCATCTCCGGAGGGACAACTACTACCTCTGGGTCTCGATCACCTTTATCCATGTTCACATTTCCCTTTCGTTGCTCTTTATCCATTCCCGCTACCTCTGGTCCTCTTATTGAGAATTATGTTCAGCTCTGGTTAGGTTTCAAAGTTTGTTCGATGAACCACTGCTCACTGACTGTATTTGCGTTCGGTGGTGTGGCTCGCTGCTTGTATGTATGTTTGACAATAGTAGGTCACTGTTGGTTGCTTATGGTGTCACAAGCGACACTCCACTGTCAGTTACTTACGGTGTTACAAGTGAATCACTGCAGGTTGTTTACGGTGTCACAAATTGGGGTGATATTAAGTTAATTTAGGGACACTTCACTGTTGGTTACTTACGGTGTTTACAAGTGAATCACTGGAGGTTGCTTATGGTTACAAGTGGATCACTGCAGGTTGTTTACGGTGTCACAAATTGGGGTGATATTAAGTCAATTTAATCACACTTACCTCGTAATTCGTTAAGTTGGTTATTTGCTACCTCAAACCCGGTCAGCTGCCCGTTATGATCACTGGTGCATACACGTATAATCACTGGATGCGTGGGCCGGCTTATTACAAACAAACGCTCACAGCACCGTACGCATGAACCGAAAACTTTATGACAACCCCTCAGATATTCTAACACTTCATTCAAACACACGACACTGTCTCCCGCGCCGATGTCCCACCCACTGTGGGCAGGTGGCTGATTGACGACCTACGTTGTTCCACGCTGAACTCCTGGCGTTGGTGACGTGTCCTGTGGTCCTTTTTACTCCTGGTAGTTGAGTATTCCCTTCGATGCCCTCCCGCATTTGTTTTGACTGTAAACACCTTAATTAAGGATGTTCAGGTGACGGGCAAGTCGAAGGGAATGATTGAAACCCGTCTTTTGACGCATTCAATATTTATTGATGTGGTCAAAACCTGCAGACAACAAGGCGTTCATTAGTATAACATGGTGATCTATCTCATACATAATTAGTTAGTCTCACACAATTTATCTTAATTATAATTGATTATTGAGCATAATGACATGATACAAAGTTCATAACTCTATTAATCTTAGCTACACTTCATTCCGCGTTGTCTTATTGCTCCAGATAAGGCAGGAACAAGTAGGCATAATAATTCCACAATATTTCAGTACTGAGGGTATGTCATCACTTTGGCTGTACTTACAAGTGCGGGTCAATGCGAACCAGTATGGTGTTCCAAGGGAAGATAGTTCTGTGTAAACTCGGCCCAGGATTGGGAGTTGTTGTTGTTCACCACTGCCAGCAGAGTGTTGATCCTCACAGCATCACTTGAGGGGGCAGTCTCCTAGAGTCCAGGTGGCCACGCAGCCATTTAAACCATACATTAGCAGAGTCATGATCTCTTCTCTGTAAACACCGCCCCCCCCCCCTAATCTTTGTTCTGGTAAGGCAGCAAAAACGTCAGCACTGACATTAGCGTTGACGCCAGCGATGAAAACACTCCCGGCGATGCCAGCACTTAGGCCAGTAGCGATGACACTCCCGGCGGTAATCACCCAGCTGCCACATCTGTCGAGGCAACAGGTCGCGTGGTGGGGAGGGGGGGTGGGGGGCATCACTCGAGAGGGCGATTTGTGTCATGAGATCCATGACGCCCTTTCAGCGCTCACGCCATTAGTGATGACACTCCGGTGGTAAACACCGCCCCCCCCCCCAGTCGCTACATCTGGTGTGGTAACAGGCCGCGTGTGGGGTGGGGGAGGCACATGGTTGTTGACACCAACGATAAAACCAGCGGCGATAACAGTTATTATTATTATTATTATTATTATTATTATTATTATTATTATTATTATTATTATTATTATTATTATTATTATTATTATTATTATTATTATTATTATTATTTATTATTTATTATTTATTATTATTATTATTATTATTATTATTATTATTATTATTATTATTATTATTATTATTATTATTATTATTATTATTATTATTATTATTATTATTTATTATTATTATTTATTATTTATTATTTATTATTTATAATTATTATTATTATTATTATTACTATTATTATTACATTTTCGCCCCCTAGGCCCCGATATGGGTCAGTGACCTATGCCCGGGTGGGCTAATCCCAGAAAAAAAATGGAATGTTGTGCTGTTGTTTATGAACCAGTAGGAAATGTTGTCAGTTACTCATGAGTCATTAGAGGATGTTGTCAGTTGTTTATGAACCCATTGATGTTGTGAGTTTTTCGTGAAAAGGTAGACGGTGTCAGTTGTTCGTGAACTAATAGGAGATGTTGTCAGTTACTCATGAGCCGTTAGAAGGCGTTGTCCGTTGCTCAAGAATCAGTAGATGTTGTCAGTTGTTCATGAAAAAATATATGTTGCCAGTTGTTCATGAACCAGTAGATGTTGTCATTGGTTAATGAAAAAGTAGATGTTACCATTTATTCATGAGGAATTAGAGGTTGTTAATTGCTCATAAACCAGTAGATGTTGTCAGTTCGTCATGAGCCAGTAGATGTTATTAGTTGTTCATGAACCAGGAGTAGATGTTGTCAGTTGTTCATTAAGGAATAGGAGATGTTGGCAGTTGTTCATGAACCAGTAGGAGATGTTGTCAGCTTCTCATTAACCAGTAGATGTTGTCAGTTGTTCATTAACCAGTAGGAGATGTCAGTTTCTCATCAACCACTAGGAGATGTTGTCAGTTGCTCATGAACCAGTAATAAAATTTGTCAGTTGCTCATCTACCAGTAGGAGATGTTGTCAGTTTTTCATTAACCAGTATGAGATGTTGTCAGTTGTTCATCAACCAGTAGGAAATGTTGTCAATTGTTAATGAACGAGTAGGAGATGTTGTCAGTTGTTCATAAAAAAGTAGATGTTGTCAATTGTTCATGAACCAGGATGAGATGCTGTCAGTTGTTCATGAGCTAATAGAAGATGCTGTCAGTTGTTCATGAGCCATTAGAAGGCGTTGTCAGTTGTTCATAAACCAGGAGATGTTGTCAGTTGTTCATAAACCAGGAGGAGATGCTATCAGTTGTTCATGAGCCATTAGAAGGCGTTGTCAGTTGTTCATAAACCAGGAGATGTTGCCAGTTGTTCATAAACCAGGAGGAAATGCTATCAGTTGTTCATGAACCAGGAGGAGATGTTGTCAGTTGTTCATGAACCAGGAGATGTTGTCAGTTGCTCATGAACCAGTAGGAGATGTTATCAGTTACTCGTGAACCAGGAGGAGACGTTGTCAGTTGTTCATGAACCAGGAGATGTTGTCAGTTGCTCATGAACCAGTAGGAGATGTTATCAGTTACTCGTGAACCAGGAGGAGACGTTGTCAGTTGTTCATGAACCAGGAGGAGATGTTGTCAGTTGCTCATGAACCATGAGATGTTTTCAGTTTTTCATGAACAAGGAGCAGATGTTGTCAGTCGCTTATGAACCAGGAGGAGATGTTGTCAGTTACTCATGAACCAGGAGATGTTGTCAGTTGTTCATGAACCAGGAGGAGATGTTATCAGTTACTCATAAGAACATAAGAACATAAGAAAGTGGGATACTGCAGGAGGCCGACTAGCCCATACAGGGCAGATCCCTTTCACACCCATCCCAGCACTTCCATGTGCCTATCCAACTTCGTCTTGAAGCTCCCTAGCGTCCCCGATCCTACTATAGCACTCGGTAACCTATTCCACATATCCACAACTCTATTACCAAACCAGTGCTTGCCTATATCCTTTCTGAATCGGAATTTATCTAATTTAAAGCCATTTGTTCTAGTTATTTCGTTATTACTGAGCTTTAGAATATCTTCCATTTTACTCTTGTTAATCCCACTTACCCACTTGAACACCTCTATCATATCTCCCCTAACTCTACGCCTCTCTAATGAATGCAAGCCTAAGCTTTTCAGTCTTTCTTCATATGGAAGGTTTCTAATATTATGGATCATTTTTGTCATTAAAAAGCTTTGGGGTTATTTTTCGATTCGTTTGCTACCTTGATTTCCATGTGCTTCTACCTT